AGGGGTGGGGGGTGGGGGGGGGGAGGAACTGGGGAGCAGGCAGCAGAGGGGCCTCACGGGGGTCCCCTCATGGTCTCCACCCATGACTTATAAGCACAGAGTCTGAGTCCAGCTCCCTGTGGTGGCAAGTGGGGACTGTCCGAGCATCCATATTGCCTCCAAATCTGTTCTGAATTAATTTGGAGGATTCGCATTGATTTTGGAGCTTTTTATTGGTCTCCTGATTTTTATTTTTATTTTTTTTATTTATTTTTTTTAATTCCGAATCAGAGATTCGGCTGCTGAATCGCCTCCAAATTGAATCAGCAACTGAAGCGTCACACAGCCCTAGTGGGCACCATTGTTATGATGTATGGTATACTGTCATTGATAGGTTTGTGTCTGAGTAAATAAACACCTAGCTTAACTCCACTTTCCTAAAATTTATAAGCATCTAATTGAAGCTTTTCCTAGAAAATCCAGCATGCTTTTCAGAGCTGTGGCAAACTGTTCTGATCAGTATTTCTTGTTTGTTTGCTTAGACAGTTCAAACAATTCATGTTTTGGCATCAAATTTACCTCATATTTTTAGTTAATGCTGTGCAGAATACATCTCTCATCTCATCACTCAAAATGTTATTTACATGTCCATTAACTGTTTTCACATGTAAAGCTAGCTCACAAATCGGGATTCAGCTGTTTTCTATTCGGAAGTGATTCAAGATGATCTTATTTCCTTGGAAGCTCAAAAGGAACGGAGTGGACAGTTGGCACAGAATACCCCCTGTGCCTTGGATTGGTAGTTTTAAAGATAGCACTAACAACATTCACCCTTTATAAAAGCTTATATAGGCTGTAACTGCCTAGCTAATTACAGGATCTGCCAAAAGGTATAGTTGGTAAATTCTGCCCTCCCGCCCAACCCTTCCACTTTGAAAGAGAGATTGTTGAATGTAAACCAGCAGTGGTGGTGTCCAGATCACTGTTTCTCGGCCCCTAAATCAAGTGTAATTGTATATAGCATCATGAGCTTTACTGACTATTTTGGAATTGGTGGCATAAAGTATTTTCGCTTACACTTTAGATATAAACGTTTTGAGGATGCAGTTATCAAATCTGTTGATCATCAAGGCAGAAAAAAATGAGGATATTGTACTTCTTAATGAAGATACTAGTAGATTAAGAGGTAAATAAATGCTTCCAAGTTTAACCTGTCAGTTGTCTACTGAAATAATATGGTAGTGAAACTGACATTGTAATACTTACAGCAGTGGCAAAGCACTCCACATGGTCAAAAAGTTTCTGGATATAGTAGCTAATGTTTGAGGAGAGAAAAATCTACAAACTAAATTCAGAAGTGAAGGTAGTAAAGTTCAGTGAACTCTGGAAAGATACTTTTCTCCTCTTCTCATATTGTTGGAAGGTAAGGTATCAGAAAATTCACCATACAGCCATCCCAATATAAGTGGTGCTCTCAGTTCCCGAGAACTGTTTAGCAATTGAGATGATGGCAAATTCTTGGTATGTTAAATTTAATATGTGAATATTTGCAGGACAGGAAATGTTGTGACCTACAGGGAAAAAAATATTTTTTTCTTGCATTGTGTATTCGATTTGTAATCATTCTGAAGGAAGTACTTATTTAATAATATATCTAGTGTATGCCAAGATGCTGTATAATAGTTTAAATAAGGTGGCTGTTGAAATATTTGGGGTAAAGCCATGTGTCTGGATTTGTAAATTTGCTTTTGGTATATTCTTTTAATTAGAGAGGCTGGTGGTGGCAGCTGAACACTGTGAAAAGAGTTTGGAAGATTTGCTACGAGACGGGAAACCTGTGAGGTATGATATCAAACTACTAATGAACCCACTAACAAAAAGGTTTAGATATTTTCAGTGACCGAGTCCAGGCATACTGAAGAAAATGTGACTACTTTTATAGTTCAGCATGAATTCAATTTTGATGTTGCTCATTGTTTGACTGTCTTCTTACTGCCAAACAAATAACTACTTTTTTTTCTTATAAGTTGGGGGGGAGAGGTATTTAAAGCTAAAATAGGTTGTGTTGTTTTTTTTTTACACTGAATTTTGTAAAACTTGCGCATTTAGGTCTTTTTTTAGTAGTATTGAGCTCAGTAGGAATTGAAGTGTAAAGGTTATTTGGTTTCATGAAATATGACAATTGATGTTTAATTTTTTTAGATGAAAACATCACTTTTTCAGTAGGGAAAATCATAAAGTGTAGATAGTGAAATCACTGTTGCTTGTTATGATGTGTAAAGTTAGCTGAGCCTATATCTCTTATTTTTAAAAATATATTTGTCGGCCAAGTTTGAAAAATATTAATTTGATGTAAAACAAATACAAGAGAAGAGATTACTTCTTATTGTACCAAAAATATTGAGTAAGTATAGATCATTCTCATAATAGAAAACATTATGTGAAGTGCTAAACTTTCAGGATTTTTTTTTTTAAGTTATTGCTACTGTGAATTTAGGCAACATCTTCCTTCAGTGACAGATTCAGGATATTTATGTAATCACAACCTTGAGCCTTTTCCTTGAGACTTGTTCCTTTTATCTCTAAACCACAGCATTATAGTTAGTCACTGAAGTCCCAGGATAAAACTCGGAGAATACAGATTTAACACTCAAACAGTGCTTAGTTGCTCAAAGAAGGCTTGTTAAAGTTTTTCATTATCAAGTTGAGTCAGGATTCTAGCGATTTTTAAAACCTTGTAATACAGTCTTCTGTTTCCCTCAATGCCCTAAATCCTCAGCCTTTGGTCATGGAGGCAATTAGAGAAGAGGGACTGATCTTGGGTAACCAGTGTCTTTCCTTCTACATGAGAAATGCCCGGACAATATTCCATTTCTCTTATTCTTTATAAGATTTAGAGTTTCAGTTCAGTGTAAGATTTACCTTATTTATTCTATGTAACAGAATGGCTTTTAGAGACCCTAGATATTTTAATTCCTACATATCCTTCTTCTGTCATTAAGGTTGTACTGTTGAGCAGTGCTGGTCAGTATTAACACTTGCCCCAGACTCTGTTCTTTGCGTATTCTGATATAAATTACAGTGCAGTACTTGCATAAATTTGAGGGAGTTGTAAATGGTTATAAAGGTTATTTATTGCAGTACAGTTCTTCAAGATGAAAGGGAAGTGTTAACCGCCCATGACATTCACTTGAGCGCTTCGCCCTTTCTGCCTGTTCGGATGCAGCTGCCTCCTTTTGAGTCCACAGCTTGCCTTCCAGTAAGATACCTTGAAAGGTCAGCAGGGATTCTCGTGTGCCACATCTTTTTACTGGTTATTGCTGGGAGGATGTTCTTGAATCCTGCCTCTCCTGGTCCCTTCTTTCGGCTCTTGCTTGGACTTCTGTTTCAGGGCTCCACCTCCCCTACACCCCTCCTTACACCAACGAAAGATGTTGCTTCTTGACCGAGGCTAAGACAAAGTCTGCCAGCCACGGTAGGGGGCTTAGCCCTTGCCTCATCACAGTCCTGCTCAGACGGTGTACCATCCTAGTTCAGGCTTTACGTCAGCCTGGTTTGCCTTACTATTTGCCCCAGGATACCTTACTCCCAGGCGCTTTCCCTTTTCCTCCCAATGGTTACTTAGTCTCAGACTCCTTCCTTCTTTCTCTTCTCACGGACCCACCACTGTCCCAGTCTATACCAGCTGTATCCAGGATCCAGAGTCTTGCACAAGGTAAGGATTCAGGCTCCACCGAGCCAGCTTTAGCAGGGCATTCCCCCTCCTGGGGTTACTACCACTCGCCCCTGCCAGGGCAGTCATTCATTCCCAGCTGCTCCAGGCCCTCTGGAGGACTCACTTCCAGTCCTTCTCGAATGTTGGCTGGTGGGGTTTTTTATTCGCCCCTCCGAGGGCTGGCAGGAAAACCGGCATTAACATGCAGCCATAAAGCATGGCCGCATCAGTGCACCCGAATACACCGGCTCTCCTGTGGCACGCTGTGGCCACTTCTGTTCTCTTCCCTCCAGTCTTGGCGCGGCTTGCCTTCTTGTGGCGGCCTCTCCCCCGCTGCACCTTTGATCGTAGGCGACGTTTTGCAGTCTCCGTGTCCCTCTCTGCTCTCGGCTTGGAGGTAGGTTTTGATCTGTGGCGACGTCCCTGCCACAAGAAGGCTAGATTTTTGTGTGTGTGTGATAGTCTTTATGAACCAACTCTATCCACTGCTACAACAATCACCTACAATGAACCCATCAGAATCCATGGATCCTACATATGCCTATCCTAAAATGCGCGATGCATCTGATCCAGGGCACCAAAAGCCTTCATGGAAACTGTGTGGGTGAAACTAGGTTAAAGTTACATACCAGAATGAATGATCGCGAGAAAAATAGTACAGACAGATACTTGAAACACGTGTAGGAGAACACTTTTCACAGAACAAGAACTTTCTTTCTAGTCTTGCTATCCTTGCACTCAAGGGAAAATATACAAAACATTTTCAAAAGGCTAGCTGGGAACAAAAATTGATAAACTGGCTATTGCATTCAGGACCTCAACTGTGCACACCTACATAGAGGCCTAATATACAAGCTAATAAAGTTGATAGTAATCTTTTCGGTGGGTTTTGGTTTGAGCCCATAACCTACAAAGCTCTTCATATCAATTGAGCAGTAAAAGTGCCTTCCTTCCCTTGCTCTATTACACACCTCTCCTGTCATCAATAGAAGCTTTCTTCTAAGATGAGAGCTTTGGTATAAGATGATTGTTGCTTCTTGACCATTCTTGGGAAATATTCACTTCTGGTATTCTTACTAGTTGTGACTTGACATAATAAAAGATTCCTGTTCTAAGGCTCTCTAGGGACCCTTAATAGTTTTACAGCTTTACCTCTCAGTATTAATACTATCCTTCAGCAAATTTAGCCATGTGGTTAAAGCAGAAAAAAAATGTCCTTTTTGGAGTGATGAGGAAGGCAGTTTAAGCAAAGTTATTTCTTGTCAGTAAAGACTAATTTTATTTGTATTTATAACTTCAGCCATTTTTGTCTCTGCCAAGAAAATGATGTTTTGTTTTTAAACAGGGGTGAGAAGAAACATGGTGGTTGGATGGGATTTTTATTTAAGAAAGAAATGCTGAAGGGCTTCTGCAAGATTAATTAGAAATCAGTTTATGTATTTCAGTGCTAATTTAAAAAACAAAATCTTTGAGAAAGTAGCTGTTCTGTCCTCTCTGAAGCAGTCACCAGTGCTTCAACTGTGATAGTTTTATTTGGAGCAGTAGCTAGAAGCTGTATTTCTCTTCAAGAAAAGTGTTTGTTTTTTTTCCAACGAGACCAAGACACATTTTCCCTTCCTTTTCAGTTAATTAAAATGGACATTTGTTTCTTTTGTGAGATGCATCAATGGCCAGAAGTAGTTTGGACAGGACCAATTCCCAGTTACGTTATCTGATCCATCTATGTCACTGAAGTTTTGTAAAGAACTATTTGGCTTCTTCCATGTATTTTAATTGCATTAGTCCATGATACCAGAGCTGGTGTGCATGCTATTGTAATTAATGTTATAAACTGTTTATGGAATGGAAAAAACTGTTCTTATGGTTTCTAAATTAATTCTTCCTACACTTGCCAGAAACCAAGTTCTTTGCACCTGTAAGTTGATGTAAAGGCAGCAGGAAATCTTCTATTAGTTTTAGTGTTGAAATTCAAGACGTACCACTGAGGGCTGTCCATCCTTCTGTGCATATTGCAAAACAGGCTGTTCAACTGTCTGGTGGTTATTTTGCAGTTAGTGTTCTCTAAAGTCATGCATCATTTATGTCTCGCATTACTTACTGTATGGTATGTATCTAGGAATGAGAACAAATACATAAGAACATACCTTGAACTTTAAGTTAATTATTCTCAAAATCTGACCAGGAAGCATGAGTAGGTTCATGAGAACCAACAATTTTTAGGCTTGAATATTAGAAAGCATATAAGGTAATGAGTACGCTTGGATAAATTGTTATATTGTAACAAAACACGAAATTTGCCAAAAATATTATGCCCTCTCTCAATTTAATTAAGCTTAATTTGTGTGGTAATATAGGGTCAGATCTTCAACTTCTGAGTAGGACTGATGACGTGCTAGATTCCACTGCATAGGGGGAGAAAAGAAAGGATGGAACGTGCCCCTTCACGTTTTTTGGAGTTCTTAAGTTTCCTTTGCTTACGCTCTGAAGTGAATGCAGCCTGTAGAGTTGCAGGAAAAGTTGAAAATAAGCAGTCTTCTCTCTTCAGGCTTCCTTGGTTTACCTTGAATGGCGAGACATAGTTAACCATGTTAGTGTAAAGTCATTGAATCATAGAGAAGTTGGGTTAGAAGGGACCTCCAGATACCATCTAGTTCAGTCGCCTGTCTAAAGCAGGATCATCCCTATTCAAACCATCCTATACAAATCCATAGTCTAAACTCTTAGTAAAATTACTGTCACACTGACACAGCCCCCTAACTTGTCGCAAGTAAAGCAGAGTGACCAACATCCTACTTCTATAAAAGGTTGTTAATATACGCTTGAGAGATCCCATGTAGAAGGTCCTGACCCCTGCTACAGAGGAAGGTAAAACCCCACCCACAATCCATACCAATCTGACTATGGGGTAAAATACCTTGAGTAGAAGGCAGGATAGATTTGCCACCTCATAGTCTAGACGAAGTAAGTGCGTGTGAAATACACACATCATGGATATTGATGTATAGATATCACAATCTTTTGAGACCTGAAGCTCTCTTCATAAGATGCTGGGAAAGGACATGCAAATCCGGGGGCACACCCCCCAGGAAGAGTCCAGCACAGCCCCCCAGCCTGCAACCCTACCGGG